AAAAAAAAAAAAAATTTGGTCTATATGAAGCAACAAAAATTTTCATAGAACACAAAAATAGTATTGTAATATATATATTTTTAATTTCAACATAAGTACAATTTACAAATATAATACATTAAAAAAAATTATGTATAGGGCAGTGTCTGTGGCTCAAAGGAGTAGGGTGCCAGCCCCATATTCCGAAGGTCATGGGTTCAAACCCACCCCTGGCCAAAAAGAAAAAAATAATTATGTATAGTATTATTTTATTCTTTGGCATATTTCTCATTTGAGTGAATTTTTTTAGTAGATTGCTGTCATTGTTTAAAAGGTCATGAAATTTTTCACAAGAATTTGTTAAATTATATTTCACACATAAAATGGTTTTCAAAGTCTCAACACTTAATTGTGACTTTTCTGATGTCCACACTTTATTTACTGTAGAAAAAACACGTTCAGCCGCAACATTAGTTCCTGGTAAGGACAGCGCGTATCCCACAATTTTTATGCCATTATTGTAGGGAACATGGTTTGTTTAAAAATGATGAAATATTTGTAACCATTTGTTCTCTATTGTGATTTTTGCTGATGCCCAAGAGTTAAGCTTTTCCTTATCAATATTTTTTTTAATAATGATACCTTGTAAGTCATAAGTGTCACTTTCAAGGCTGGCGCTAGACTTTTTGCCTCCACTATAAAATATGAATAATACGAGTACTGGCTGCTAAATTCATGAAATAAATAAATAAATTACTTACGTAAATTATCTGAATAGCTGATTTGTTGACGTCACTTGTTTAACTAGCACTGCAGTACCATGTGTATTGTCTGAGAGACAGTTACAAAATGTTTTCCTGGTTGCCAATGCCAAAAAATGCCATTGTTCATTAAGTCCAAACAATTGTGGTTGAATTCTAACAACTGATCAACAATGCGAACTTTGATAAGCAGTTCTCGATAATCAGTTCGAAACAATTATGTGTTATTATTAAAGTTTAACATTATAAAATTAACAAAAATAATATAAAACTCATATCCTGGTGAAATAGCCACATGGCAGTGTTGGTTCCAACATTGCCGCTGAGAGACCACCACAGACATGTAAAGACAAAAAGTGCATTATTTTGCAAGCATATGCTTGGGCCACTCTTCCCTTCAGCGTGGCTGGAGGAAGGGCAACCCCCTAGTGAAGTGAGCTGAGGTTTTTAAAGCTCATAGAGGAATTTTGTCAGGTGTTTTGTTGGGCAGGGCTGCTATTGGCTGAGCTGTTTATGGTTAGGGACCCTGGGGGTGGGGTGGCTACTTATTTGTTCCAGACAGTTGGGCTTCTTCTGAGCTAATTGTCCTTGCCTAGAAGCAAGGGAAGGAGCCATCTCCTTCTGATACCGATTCCACCTGGGTGACCTTGCCCAGGAGGGGGAGGAGGGAGTTTACATTAGCCTTTTTATTTCCAAAGGAAGTTACATTAACCTCTTCATTCCCAAATGGAGTTACATTAACCTTTTCAGCAGCCAAAAACCGTATATTCCCTTCCCCTTGCCCCGCTGTTCCCTAGCTTGTTGTACATTCTTTCCAAAAATCAGGACTTTTTAAAAATGCAGCAGGACGCGGGACAAATTGTTAAAAATCAGGACTGTCCCACCAAAAGCAGGATGTCTGGTCACCTTAATATAATATCAGTAGGCATAGTATGTGCTTCTTTTTGCAGCATTGGTCCACATTGCCTCTTTGCTGCTTTTTGTTTTTCCATACTGGTATTGCAGGATTTGGGTTTTGTTGTTTTGTTTCTACTTACATGTATTTCAGTATTTAAGGAGATACTTTGTCACTGATTTTGTTATAAATTTTGTCTGTTATATGTTTTGGTTTTGCTGTGTAATTGTTCTATTTTTTGTTTGTTTGTTTTTTTTGTTTTTAGAGACAGAGTTTCACTTTGTTGCCCTCTGTAGAGTGCTGTAGTGTCACAGCTCACAGCAACCTCAAATTTTAGGTTCAAGCGATTCTCTTGCCTTAGCCTCCCGTGTAGCTAGGACTACAGGTGCCCACCACAATGCCCAGCTATCTTTAGAGGCAGGGTTTAGCTCTGGCTCAGGCTGGTCTTGAATCTGTGAACTCGGGCAATCTACCCACCTTGGCATCCCAAGTTGTTCTTTCTGTTTTTATGTGGGGATTGGGATAAATTTTTAAAAACTACCTTTTGGTATTTACAGTGTTCACAGAATCAAGACTTTTTCTTTAGTTTAAGAAGCCCCTTTAAGTTTTTGGTTCTTTGTGTCTCCAAATTGGGCTGACTTAGAATGTTAATAAAAGTTAGTAGCACTTTTACTAAACCCCAGAGATGAGAAGTTTTAGAGTACATTTGCTACCATCATACCTTCTGTGATGAGAAAATTAAAAAGTGTTCGGCTATATTTGTTTTGTTTATCCAATCTAGTTACCTGTTTCTATTATTGGTACATTTTTACTTATCCTTAATAAAATGTGAAAAAGTTTTCTTGCTGAAATAACATCAGGGGTTCTGGTATTCTGTTTTTTCTGATCATACCTCTGTTTTCATGTGGAAATGGATTGAGTTGTATACACTTATAATGTGTTTACTTTTCTGAATGTCATAAAACAGTTTACATTAAATTGTTAAAAGAGTAGCCTCTCATTTGAGGCCAGGTGTGGTCGCTCACGCCTAGCATTTGGGAAGCCAAGATGGGTGGATTGCCTGAGCAGGAGTTTTAAGACCAGCCTGAGCAAGAGCAAGACCCTGTCTCTAAAAAATAGCCGGACATTGTGGCAGGTACCTGTAATCCCAGCTACTTAGGAGGCTGAGGCAAGAGGATCGCTTGAACCCAAGAGTTTGAGGTTATTGTGAGATATTATGCCATGGCACTCAGTAGAGGGGGACAAATGAGATTCTGTCTCAAAAAAAAAAAAGCTAGCCCCTCATTTGAATATACTGGGATTTGGTAAGAAGTTGTGTTCAACTTCTGCACAACCTTTGTAATTTTATAATTTCTTAGGTGTTTACTAAAAAAGAATGCTAAAATAACAGTATGTGATAGATGGGTACAAGTTATATGCTTAATATATTAAAATATTTGAATACTTATATGCCAAAATAAAAGACTTTTGTTGAGATTTAGTATAAGTATAGCCTTTACCAAATACAGGTTTTTCTGACATTATTTTCTCTCACTTTTCTCAGAGTTCCCAATTTTGAAATGCTGGGCTCAGTCAGAAGTAGCAGCTCCTTGTGCTTTGAAGAATAGGGATATTTGCCAGTGGAACAATATGAAGTATAAATCAGTAAGCTAATATTTTATGTCGTATTTAGATCATACTGTCTCATTTAAAACTCTGTTTCTGCCACATTTACAAGATTAGCATTTTCTAACATAGAAAGTTGCTTTTTGTATTTAATGTTGTTTCTTTGCTGCTGATGGTAACACCATTTCCTTATTTGGGTAAAATCACAGAACTACTTAATTTGGGGGCTAAAAATTTAGGATTAGCCCTATGCCTCATTGGTCCAGAGTTTAAGTATAGCTGATAATGCTTTAAAGTTGTGAAATGGCAAAGGGAAATAGTAGCATGTTCATCTGGTTTTCCTTTATCAATAAAATTTTATTTTTATTCATAAATTTTTATTAATTTTTGAACAACAAAATAAACTGACTTCATTATATTACATAGGAAAAAAGGAAAATAAAACTCAAAGTACGCTGGGCATGGTGGCTCACACCCAGTACTAGCACTCTGAGGAAGAGCTTGAGCTCAGGAGTTGGAGACCAGCTTGAACAAGAGAGAGACCCCATTTCTAAAGCTGGTACCCTATAGTACCAGCTACTTGAAGGGCTGAGCCCAGGAGTTTGAGGTTATAGTGAGTGGGATGTGGTGCTACTGCACTGTACTCAGGGCAGCTGAGCAAGACTCTGTCTCAAAACAAAAAAACTAAAAGCCTCAAAGTACTATTATTTCAACTAGTCTTATTGTTAAAGTTTCTAGTCTTATTGTAATTTTACATATAAATTTAGACTGTTTCAGGCCATTTTAGTAATTTGACCTCTTCATTTTGTTTTCAGTTATTATATTGGGTATAGGCTGGTCCAAAGGTAGTGAGTTACCTCACTTGATTGTTCACAAGTAACAGATTGAATTCCTTGTTCTATTCTTCCCCCTTCTTGCTACTGTACTTGAGTATTCTTTTTTTTTTTTTTTTTTGAGACAGAGTCTCACTTTATTGCACTCAGTAGAGCGCTGTGGCATCACAGCTCACAGCAACCACAGCAACCTCCAATGCCTGGGGTTAGGTGATTCTTCTGCCTCAGCCTTCTGAGTAGCTGGGACTACAGGCGCCTGCCACAATGCTCAGCTACTTTTTTGTGGCAGTTTGGCTGGGGCCAGGTTCAAACCTGCCACCCTAGGTATATGGGGCCAGAACCCTACCCACTTAGCCACAGTTGCTGCCGATGCACTTGAGTATTCTTAAAAAAAAAATTGGTATAGTATTAATACTTCATGGCTTGGCACCTATAGCTTAACCGGCTAAGGCGCCAGCCACGTACACCCAAGGTGGCGGGTTCGAATCCAGCCTGGACCCGCCAAAACAATGATGGCTGCAACCAAAAAATAGCCGGGCATTGTGGCGGGTGCCTGTGGTCCCAGCTACTTGGGAGGCAGAGGCAGGAGATTCGCTTGAGCCCAGGAGTTGGAGGTTGCTGTGAGCTGTAATGCCATAGCACTCTACCCAGGGGGACAGCTTGAGGCTCTGTCTCAAAAAAAAAAAATATATATATATTTCATTAGCACTGGCTCTGTCTTAGGACTCTACAGTTTTCTGCTTACCCTCTTTAGTTAACCTACTTCTTTTCCTCTCTTCAGAGTGCTAAATCTTTGTACAGTGTATCTCTTTCCCTCTTTTTAAAAATCCTTTGTTCCTCTATTATGAGCTGCTTTGTGAGCTATGTAACATTATTGTTATGTTTTTTCTTGTTCCTAATTCTCTTAAAGACTGATTTGTTTGATTGAACAGCACAATCTCTGTCATCATTTTTACTATTTGCTTTTATAAGGAGTCAAATCCATTTGGAACAAAAATAGAATAAATTTAAAATTTGAACCAGCAGATACATAACTATCAATCAGATGATCATAAGGCCGATGTACTCATGTGTATTATTGTGGATATTTAGATTTGAAGTAAGTTCCTTGTACTTACTTACATGTCTGTCTACCAGCTAACTCCAAAAACAGCTACTAATGGTAAAGGCTTACTACCAAGCACTGCTATTTTATATGGGAGAACTTTCTTTGAATAGACAGATGGGAAGATGGATGACTGCAAATATCTTATGCAATGTAGAGTTGCTTTTGAGTAGATACCCATTGCCATATGGCACCTGAATTTTTTTTTTCAAATTCTAAAATACATCTAGGGAACTGCATTTGATTTTTTTATTTGAATGAAGCATATGCTTAGTGTTCATTATGACTTAGAAAATTAGTAGTATACATTGCTACAAAATAAGTAATACCCTATGAAAACATTTTGAATTCATCTGTTCTTAAAATGATGTAACTTGGCTCAGCGCCTGTAGTTCAGTGGTTAGGGCGCAGGCCACATACACCAAGGCTGGTGGGTTCGAACCAGCCTGGGCTTGCTAAACAACAATGACAACTCCACAACAACAACAACAAAAAAAGCTGGGTGTTATGGTGGGCACCTATAGTCCTAAGTACTTGGGAGGCTGAGGCAAGAGAATTGCTTAAGCCCAAGAGTTGGAGGTTGCTGTGAGCTGTGACACCATGCCTCTGTACCAAGAGCAACATAGTGAGACTCTGTCTCAAAAAAAAAAAAAAAAAAAGATGTAACTTGAAATAAAAGGTCACAATTAAGCACTTTAATATTTTTTTAAATTTTGTATTATATTTATTCTTTACATATACCAGAAAAATATGTGACCATTACTAAGGTTTGTTGAAGGTAACATTTTTTGAAAGATGATTTTCAGATAGTGCTTTGTTACAGGTTGGGTTGGTAACTTTAGTTTTTTGGGGTATGAAATTATAATTCAAGTATTTATAAAAAGAAACCAAAAATACAAGTATTCCTAAGTTACCTAAATTTTAATGTTTTTAAAAGCTTATTTTTATTTTTTTTATTTCTTTCTTTCTTTCTTTTTTTTTTTTTTTGAGACAGAGCCTCAAGCTGTCCCCCTGGGTAGAGTGCCGTGGCATTACAGCTCACAGCAACCTCCAACTCCTGGGCTTAAGCGAGTCTCCTGCCTCAGCCTCCCAAGTAGCTGGGACCATAGGCGCCCGCCACAACGCCCGGCTATTTTTTGGTTGCAGCCGTCATTGTTGTTTTTGACGGGTCCGGGCTGGGGATTCAAACCCGCCACCTTAGGTATACGTGGCTGGCACCTTAGCCGGTTGAGCTATAGGCGCCGAGCCAAAAGCTTATTTTTAAACCATACAATTTCCCAGGTTTTTAGTTGAACCCCTTCTCTTTAAAGCCAAATAGAAACTAAGTTGAACATTAGAGACCTATTGCCTTGATAATTATGGTAAAGGTCATCTTCAGTGGTTCAATTTGTGAGGAAAAAAACTTTTAAAAGCTACTTCGGGAAGGAAAACAAAACAGGAATGAAAGGATAACTCAGTTTTATTATTATTATTTTTTTAAGATAGAGTCTTACTTTGTCAACCCTGGGTAGAATGCCTGCGTCATAGCTCACGGTAACACAAACCCTTGGGCTCAAGTGATCCTCTTGCCTCAGCCTCCCAAGTAGCTGGGACTATATACAGGTGCCCACCCCAATGCCTGGCTATTTTTAGAGACTGGGTCTTACTCTTCCTCAGGCTGGTCTTGAACTCCTGAGCTCTAGCAGTCCACCTATTTTCCTGCCTTAGCCTCTCAAATAGTAGGCCATGCATGGCTAATATTTTAAATTATCAGTGCAGGTTCTCACTATGTTGCCCAGGTTAGTTTTGAATTCCTGGCTTAACAGGATCCTCCTGCCTCAGCCTGTGAAAGTGCTGGGATTATAGCCACTGTACCTGGCCTCAGATAAAGCTTTTCCTAAAATAATATACATAACTTTATATATAATAGTAGAAATCAGAATGAATGAGAATTAATTAATTATTGTAGGAATTGAGTTTGATTCTGTAACAGTAAATAAAATACTGGATCTAAAAGAGTGATTTGAACAATAGTGTTTATATGTAGTGTAGCATTGGCTAAATGATATTTAAAAGAAAAGAGAAAGAGCTAAGTGCAGTGGCTTGTGCCTGTAATCCCAGCTTCTGAAGAGGCCAAAGCAGGAGGATTACTTGAGCCCAGGAGTTTGACCAGCCTGGGCAAAATAGCAAGATCTTGTCTCTAAAAAAAAAAAAACAAAAACAAAAACAAAATACAACAGAAAGAAAAAGATCAAAGTAATGGTGTTCTTCCTTTATGATGTGCATTTTAAATGTTTCTAACTTCTCTATTCCTCTTTCTCCATAGGTATATAAGAATGTGACTCTACAGGTTCCAGTGGGACTGACTATACATACCTCTTTAGTATGTTCTGTAACTCTGCTCATTACAATCCTGTGTTCCACTTTGATTCTTGTAGCTGTTTTCAAATATGGTCATTTTTCTCTGTAAGTTTTATACAGTTAAATGCTTTCTGTAAATCTAAATAAGACACATTAATTTGTGGCTAGAGGTGTTCTAGAACTTACCATTTCTTTTGTCTTTCTTTGTGGCTGAAATTATGTTTACCAGAGGAAATTTTGGATCATTCTTAGCCAATTCCAAAATTTACTGCTCTATTTTATAGATGCTTGATAATCCTCAAACATCAAGTGGAAATAGAGGAAACTTAATTCTGTTGGATTAATATATATTTTGTGAGAAGTTGATTTTTATCTTCAGTTAGGATAGAAAAATGAGTTCTTTATGTAATAGAAACACATTATTCCCATTTTGTGAATAGAAAACTTTCAATTTAAGCTGTAATAAAAATTGAGAAAACCATTATAAATAAGAATAAAAAAATTTGGATGAAAATAAAGTTTATTTAAATGTTGATTTTATTAGACTGTTAAAGCCATTTTTTCCATAGTTTTGAAGAAAATCATTAAGGTAGGACAGCTAAGAAATTATTAGTATGAAAATCGATTATTCCTTCAAGGCCAGGCCAGGGTGCAGTGACAAGATCATTGCTTACTACAGCCTTCAATTCCTGAGCTCAAGTGATCCTCCTGCCTCAGCCTTTTTGTAAAGCTAGGACCGTAGGCGTGTGCCACCCTACCTGGATAATTTTTCTATATTTTAATAGAGATGAGGGTCTTGCTGTGTTACCCAGTTCAGATTGGTCTTGAACTCCTAGACTCACAGATCCTTCCACCTTGGCCTCCCAAGGTGCTGGATTACAAGAATTAGTCATCATGCCTGCCAGCCTTGTTTCTTGCTCATGTTTTCTAGCTCCTGTCTTATTTTCCTTAATCATGTAAATAAACTTATTTTATATGGTATATTCTGTAACCAGTACTAAAGTCCAGATGGGCTCCATTATTTTGTTTGTAGTTTCTGTTGACTCACTCATTGTGGCTTATTTCCTCAGGTAAAGTATTATATTTTGGGTGCTCATGTTGGGCTTTGAGAATTCTTATCTGTGGATCTGGAATCTTTTGAGGCCTGGGTTGAGAGTGCACCTGTGCAGTGAGGATTTGTATTTGTTTCTTCTAGGCCCCCAAGTACTACCAGAAAGTAGAACTGCTCTCTTGACAAATTTGAACTTTCTTACCCCTATGAGGAAAAATTTGTGGTTATTAATTTTAAGGGAATTTTTTCCCATTCACACCAATCCAGGCTAAAGCAGACAAGAATGTTCTGTATATCTCCCTGGGCTGTTACAGGGGATTTTTTTCTTTTCTATTCTATTCTTGGAGGGGATAGCCTTTTAAGTTTCCTATCCTATGCAGGATGGCAGTCCCAGGACCCGAGGCCTTGTCTTCCATCTCTTGTGCAGCCACTAAAACCCTAGAAATTTCTGAGATAAGTAGGTACTTTCAACACAATTAGGGCTCCACTGCCCTGCTTACCACTCTTTTATTTCCTGCTACTTCTTTGAGTTGAGTGTGGGAAGTTGAGTTGGGAAGTCTATCAGAAGCATTTTCTTTTCATCTTTGCAAGCTTCTGTTTTTTGAGACAGGGTCTTACTTTGTTGCCTGGGCTAGAGTGCAGTAGCATCATCATAGCTCACTGCAACTACAAACTCCTAGGCTCAAATGGTGTTCCTGCCTCACCCTCCTAGAAGCAGCTGGGACTACAGGTGTGCATCACCATGCCCAGCTAATTATTTCTATTTTTTTTTTTTTGAGACAGAGCCTCAAGCTGTCCCCCTGGGTAGAGTGCTGTGGCATCACAGCTCACAGCAACTTCCAACTCCTGGGCTCAAGCGAGTCTCCTGCCTCAGCCTCCTAAGTAGCTGGGACCACAGGCACCCGCCACAACACCCAGCTCTTTTTTGGTTGCAGCTGTCGTTGTTTGGCGGGCCCAGGGCTGGATTCGAACCCGCCACCTTAGGTGTATGTGGCTGGCGCCTTAGCCACTTGAGCCACAGGTGCCGAGCCATTATTTCTATTTTTGATAGACACAGATTTTTTCTCTTGCTCACGCTGGTCTTTGAACTCCTAATCTCAAATTATCCTCCCACCTTGGCCTCCCAGAGTGCTAGGATTATAGGAATGAGCCACCAAACCTGGCTAGTGAGTGTTTCTGTGTGTTTGATAATGAGACCACTTCTCAGATTATCTAATAGTGTGCCATGTTGCTCCTTGATTCCTTTCTCTTCTGTACCCTCCATATTAATTGAGCTTTTGCTTTGTATCCAGAGATAAGCATAATCTGGCCCACTCTATTTCCACTCTTATCACCTAATGATTATTGCCTCTCTAGTTTATTTGCCTTCTGTTCTTGCATTCTCTACATTGTGAAGTATAAATGGGTTACTTCCCTGCTTAAACCGCTTTAAAGAATGCTTGGAATAAAGTGTTCTTTCTTTCTTTCTTTCTTTTTTTTGCTGTTTTTGGCCAGGGCTGGGTTTGAACCCACCACCTCTGGCATATGGGGCTGGCACCCTACTCCTTTGAGCCATAGGCGCCGCCCAAAATGTTCTTTTCTTAACATAGTATTCAAGATCCTTCATGACCTAAATTTTGTATGCTCTAGTGTTTTTTTTATGCTATCCCATTCTTGCACTAAGCCCTAGATGCATAGGCCTTCTTAACTAACCACAGCAAGCCCCCTTTTCCCTCCTCCTGCCTCTCAGGCTTTCCCTTGGATGCTTCTCATTGTTGTTTCTTACTGTTATTCGAGTAAATGTTACTTCCTTAAAGAGGCATTTTCTGGCTGCTCTATCCAAAATACTCTCCCTGAGTTTCTTCCTCATACCAGACGGCACTACTTTAATTATTGTGTTTTCATATTTATAACCTTTATAAATGCTAGATGAATTATGTTCGCCCTTGTATCCCTGATAGCTAAAAGTGTCTGGTACATATTAGATACTCAGATACTTGCAGAATAAGTAAAAGCATTGGTGAACTCCTCCGTGGCTGAAACAGAGAGGCCTTAATTTAGAAGGAAGTGGGACTTAATTTAACAGCAGAATTATAGTAACAGTTTTAGAGGCCAAAAAAAAAAAAAAAGCAAAATGGATAATGAATGAATTCCCAGAAACAAATGTCCTGGAGCAGAGATGTATAACAGCAATCGTTTGTCAGCATCTTCGTTTGCAAAAACCTGACTGGAGAAAATGTTGTTTTATTATATATTAAATGAGGAACTGGCTGTCCTCCCCAATACAACGACTACCAGAAAGAGCAGTGACCATCAGTAAACTACAATTCCCAGCAGCCTCCGCACGAAACCGCCCATTGGTGGTGTTGGTCTCCGCCCCGGGGAGAGGCGGGGCTCTGGCCCCGCCCTCCCGCTCCACGCCGTAGCCCTCCCTCAGGGTTGTGGCCACGCGCAGCGGCGGCGGTTGTTCCGCTTCCCCTCTGGCCCGGGCCGTCGCCATTGCCGAAGGCTCCCTCCCCGCCCCTCCCCGGCGGCCGCTGGGTTCCGCTGCTGCTCGGCCTAGCGGTAGCAGCGGCTGCGCTCCAGCGCGGCTCCTCTTCCCGCCCTACTTCCCCTTCCCTCCCCTCCCTTCCCCGCGCCGCGCGCTTGCCCTGGGCGGCTCCGCAGTCGGCCGGGAGCTCGGGCTGAGGCGCCTGGCTGAGGCGGGGCTCTTTCCTCGCCTGGGGTAAGTATGCACAGGCCCGCTCGCCCGGGACGCGGGCCGTCTGTCTCCTTCCTCCTTCCTTCTCCGCGGCCTGGCCCGGCGGGGAGCGGCCCGGGACAGCGCACCTACTCGGCGCAGGGCCGGGAAGCCGCCACCTGCGTTCTTGGAGCCACGGCTCCTGGGGCGGTGGCTCATTGTCTGCTCCCTAGAGCTGTTTTCTTCCCCGGCTTTAGCCCGAAATGGGAAGCTGGTTGGGTTGGTGAGCTCTAACTCTTCCTGGACCCAGCCCTGCCCTGAACCGTGCCGCGCCGCGGGCTTTGCCCTCTCTGGGTCTTCCTTTCCCTCGCCTTTCAACGTCTTCCTTTTCTCCGTTTACTTTAAGGCTGGACCAAATCTCTTGGATTTCGTTTCTTGATTTTTTTCCTTCCACGGATTTTGTTTTTTGATTTTTTTTTTTCCTCCTCTCGCTGATTCTCGGCCCCTCCTCGCCAGCTTTCTGTTCACCCGAGTTTCGTTGCTCCGGAGTATTGTCTCGAATACCTTAACTCTTTTCTCAACTCCAGCCTGTAACCTCTTTTCCATATTCCACAGTGGGAGACACGTATAGTTTTCCAGGGAGTTGAGGGCCACCACTTAAGCACAGAACTTTCAGACCTCTCAAGTTCTCGTTTGATTTTTAGCCAGGACGTGAATATTTGCTTCTCTAGGTGACTTAGGTGAAGTTAAGATTCGTTTTTCAGCATGTTTGGCTTTCTTTGAAGCAAGTACGTAAAACGTTGCCACAAACGTTGCCAGTGGACTCAACCTTTTGACTAATTCTTAAAGTCATCCAGGAACTGAAGCGTGCAGAGCAATTGCCATTGTCAGTTGGTGTGAGATTGTTCCCGTCCTTGTATCTAAATTTTAATGGGAATATTCTCTGGACGGTATGTGATTTGTTACTCCCCAGATAAACAACCAACTCCCATAGATATTATCAGTTTACAAGTGCTCTGTAGTTTTCTTAATTTTCTTTCTTAACATTTGGAGAAAGACAGAATGGTTAGTTCTAAAATAGATTACGAAGACCTGTGTTTTGGATCACGGTTGTGCGCAGCACATTTTTTCCCCTGCTGTGTTTGACTCTTCCGCTCTTGTAAGTAGGCAGGATATTGAAATGTACAAGAATTCACTCTGGTGGTTTTGTTTTTGTAGGGTTGTTCAAGAGAATAATGTTCAATAAAATAAGATTGGGATGAAGGCTGTGAATAATTATTTTTCAAGCAGGTTAAAACTTGACAACTTTACCAGAAGCTCAGTGGCATTTGTAAAACATGTTCATGATCATATATATGTGTATTAATTTAAGAAAAGTCTTTTTCATGTTCTGCTAGGAATATTGATTTAAGACAATTCTTTCTGTCATCTTCAGCTTTTATATCTAGTTATTAATTAGCCAGGAACACTGATTTGCATTTACATTATGGGAACTGAACCTCATGTTTTTTACCTATCGAGTATGTAGGCCTTAAATCAACGTTTAGATTTTGGTGAAGGAGGTTGACCTAAATTGGGTGTATTTTGTGTTACCTTTCCCTCTAGCAGGCTCTGGGGGGGGGGGGAAAGGCTTAGTACTCACTTTCAATACTGTCATCATAAAAAAAAAAAATACTGTCATCATTTGGTAGTATCAGTTGTCCTTAATTTAATGGATGTCTTACTGGCTTGAGGGATTATGATGTAGAAATGTTGGGATGTGAAACTTGGTCTTTTGATATTAGTTTCTCTGCCAGTTCTTTCTGTAAGCAGATATTTTTATTAAGGAAAAGTTCCTAGGTAGTTCACTTCTCTCAGGACCTTGATTCATGATTTACTGTAGTTCAGAGAGTTATTCTACACTTAATACTAACCCTGCAGACCCAAATTCATAAAGTAACCTGTTTGTAGTTAGTGTACATATACTAAACAGTTAAATAGGGGGTTCTCTGATTTTTATGATAGGCAGGTTTCCAAGTAAATGTGGTTAACTATTT